AAACGTTGAGAGAAAATGAAATCTAGGTAGGCGGGATATGTAAATTAGGTATTTTACGTCGGATTTGAGTCAAAGTTGTGCTAATCTGACACTAGTATTTGCGTTGAAAATATGTGATGCAAATATCAGATGTTAATTCATTCTTCCTCTGTAGAACGTCATCATCGGACCACCGCTGCCTGGCAGACACAACTGGACCGCCGTTGATTTGTCGTTGTTGGACTGCTGTTGCCCAAGCACCATCATCAAGTCGTTGCCACCGCCGAACCACCGTTGCAGCTTCCAAGCCTCTGTCGATGTCAGCATCACCACTGCCCAACCGTCTCCTCTTACACCAATGTAACTACCACTGAGCCACTATCATTATGACACCTCCATTTCTCAAATGTCTATGCCACTAGCCTAGCAAAAATCACGCCACGACTCACTTGTGTAATCTTACTCCCAAACATTTAAGGGCTAGCAAAGTATTGTAACTTACAACAACATAGTGAAATAACTTCAACTGAATCAGGCCAAGTTATTTTTTTTTTCCTTTTGATTTTTTACATAAAAACTTTCGTTGTCTATTCTATCAATTCATTTTAACATGTGTATGTGTCTGATCTTTATTTTAACATGCACAATATCACAACGTAAAAATATCACTCGACTGTCACTTATTTACTAGCACGTAACAAATATCTTTTTAAAAGTTCAAATATATATTTTCATGCATGATTTATGTCACCAGGTGTTACAATATAAATATCAAACTTTGGGTGATGGTTATGTTGCGCGGTGTATATGTAAATCTCCCCATTATTATATATTCTATCCAATTTTCAAAATAATGCATTCATTTACCTTTTTACCGCACTAACCAACAATAATTGCTGACACATTATAAATGTCTTGCCGCATGATCGATCGCAAGAACTGAAGCGAGAGACACAGAGTTAAAAAAAAGACATTGAATGAGAAGAAACATTTGCGTAGGTAAAGTTTGCAGCTGGTTATCTATTGTCAATTTATTTGTTCATTTATTGTAATTTCTTATGGGCTTTCTCACACACAATTTTGCTTTATAGAAATAATAGATATCTTTTTGCTATATATATATA